CGGGTTCAGAAATAGGACTGCTGAGTCGCTCCCGGCCATGAGCTCGGCGAAGACGACGCTCCCGCTGCTGCTCCTGTGGTGATTTTCCCTCACCATCATCTGATAGCATCATCAATCTCAGTCTCTCCTCAAGTGACATCCGACCATTGCCGAGGCTCTGAATATCCAGCTTGCTCGCTGAGGAAGCTGGGGGCGGAGATGGTAACCCCCTGTGCGAGCCAAGCATTTTCTCTGCGGTGGCTGGCAGGCCAGTAGATCCAGCAGGCGAATCGCCCTGACTTTGTCCAAATCCAGGGAGGGGAGGCAGGGGGCGGTGCTCTCCACTGGAGGTCGCCGAGTTACTACGGGCGTGGATAGGACGAGTAGTAGAAGGGGCTGGGGGAGTGTTCTCAGGCATCGGACTGCCTTCGTATTCCTGTGGCCCTCCGCGCTGTACCATGGGGCTATCTCCTCTCCAGTCATCTGGGCCAACAACGGGAGTCTTATCAGTGTCTTCCAGAGACGCGTCAAAGCTATCTCCCTCAAGATCAATGTGGCCAGGCTCGTAAAGCATATCGTCTTCATCATCATCTAGTGACTCGTAGCTGCCCTCGCGTGAGTTGGTACCGACAGAAGAAAGATCGGGAGTAGCCATCTCATATTCGTTAATCTGAGGGGGTGCAGCATCAAAGGTAACGCTCTTCGCATGACGATGTAGTGACCGCCCAGGAGGAAGCTCGTGGTCGTTGATGGAGGAATTGGCAGACCATGTTCCAGTTTCCATGTCGAAACCGCCCTTGAATCTTGAACTCAGTGATGACTTGGTTGGAGAGATTTGATCCTTGCTGGGCGTCCATGGACGGGATGGGGAGCTGGCCGATTGGGAAAGGGTAGACTTAGTTGGGCTCATCGTGGGAATGCTGGTCTTGCTTTCGGATCGGTGGTGACCAAAGACAGGACGGTCGGTTGCCGAGGAGCGGAGTGTAGCAGACGATCCAAAGGGGCTACTTTGGACCTTTGCGAGCGGTCTCTCGATTTGAGGTATCCGAGTAGGATCATATTCCTGCTTCTGCTCAAGCGCCAGGATATTACTGTTCCTGACACGAGACGCCTTCTGGAGTCGCTCGATCGAGGAACGGCGGTTTGGAGATGGTGATCCGATGTAAAAGTTTTCTGAGTTCCGGTTCTGCCAAAATAGTCGAGGCGAGAGCCCGTCCATCGGAGAGGACTGGAATGGGGACGAATCGAGGTTCTGACCCGCCTTCTGCGTCATGCGTATCAGTACCAGAGGAGATGTGAGGTTTATCGTGTGTGGGTGTTCTGAACATACCTTAGCCTTCGGCGAACCGTTACTGTTCTGGTTCCAGCTGGGCGAGTTGCGTCTCATCTCGGCTGGAGACAGCTCGGAAAGTGGGCGAGGGATCCCGCTCGCCACCTTCACTGGAGAACCGTTTTGGTTGGTTTTCGTGATCCGTAAGGGATGTACCTATGCGCGTGCGTCAAGCGTTAGAGAGACACGCACTTCAGCGGAAGAAGGGCGAAAGGGCGTGTAGCAACATACCTGTTCGGTAGCCATGTTGGGCCGTCGGGTGAGTAAAATTCTAAGTAATTGCCTATGCTAGATGATGGAACTCTAGAGAGATTGGCATGCGGGATGGAGTCCGGTATAAACAAAGAAAGGAAACGATGGAATGTGGCAGCTCGATATGAATGTTGTTGTTTGGGAATCGGGCGACGCAAAGCTAGGGCGACGGCAGGGAGAGTGAATGCAAAGTATCAAATGCACAAGTTTGTTGGCTTGGTGTAAGAAGGAAACACGCCCTCTGGGCAGTTCAACGCACGGCAAACTCTCTCTCTCTCTCAACGAGCAAGATGATGCCAGAACGATGGATGAGTAGGCGGAGGGACAAAGTGCTTCTGGCGAGGTTCATGTGTTTAAGGGACGTTGTGCCAACTGCAACCGGGGGCATCGTTGATTGGTCGTGGTGAAAATAAACACGCCCAAAGCTGTGTTGTCGTCGCCTAGGCAACTGCTCTCACGAAGCTGGTAAGCCCACTGGCAGGTGCTCAAGTCGAGGCCTGCAGAGACGCTAACTACCTAACTCATCAGTCTGCGACAATGCGCTGGGGGGGAGTCGTTACCCCGCTCCGCTAAAGCTCTCCCCTCCAGGCGCTTTTACTGGGTCACTTCAGCGCTATCCAAGTACCCGACGGAGCCCTACAGCTGGAGTCGCTTGGAGTCGCCATGGCAGCGACGCAAGCAGCCGACGTCGAGGCACAAGATTGGCTGAGCAGGCATCGGCGTCGGTGCTGTGCTGGCATGATCCCAGTATCGCATGTAACGTGCTTGCAGTTCCAATGTTTACAAACCAGTTATAGGGCACAAGTTGGTGTTATCATTGACTGTAATTAATTACCTATCCATGACGATTAATACCTTTTTCTTATTGTTCGACTACCAAGTTACCCGTGGCAATGCTCCCCCCCCTCCCCCCTCTCTCAGGCCGGGTGAATGGCTTCTTGTCGACAGAGGATATAGGACGACCTTCATGGAGGCCCTCTCCCTCCGCCTCGAGCAGGAACACAGTGAAGCACCGTAGCACCGCAGGAGGCTAGTAAAGCAGTGGAGCTGGAAGGGTAGATATAAATATCAATACGGAGTCGAGTCTGTGTACTTATCATTGCGCCGTAGCTATCCGCGTTACCTCTGCCAACTCCACCCCGACTCCGCTTGTCTTGTCTGAACGTCTTTGTTGTGGCTATGCATCGAGATCGTCCCGAACGCCAACTGTAGCCATATCGGCACTAGAACTCTCAAGTCAATGCAGATATGGAGTAGTCTACATTATTCGTACTCTAGAGCGGGCCAACAGACTACCTATTCCCTCTTCACCCATCAACCCACCGAGTTTCTTCAGGGATTGTTTTTCTTGATCGGAATTTACTACCATGGGAATATTACGTGGGACAGCATGACGGCACCTTGTTGTCGACAGACGGCTTGTCTTTCGAAGAGCCAGTGGAACCTCGTCGTACACTGCAAGCGACAAGCATGATATACCAATGACCGCTTTTTCCTTAGCCTTGTCTCCCCGAGGTCGCATTTTCAAAGCAAGCTATCCTCCCAAAATGCGATAAGGGTGCGCCTCTAATGCATCAAGTGCCCGTAACCGCAAGAGAGGTTCATCCACCTACTGGTTCCCTATTTTTCATCGTGTGATGTGACTTGCCGTGACTTGATGCTAGCCCAGTCTTGTATTGGGTTTCAGAACTACCACACACATCCTTGGCCTTGATCCAGGGGCCGGGGGGTCGTTGTCTTCGAAACAACAACATCCGAGCTCTCATGACACAATATCTTTGTCAATTACTCTTGCTTTTTATTCCATTCCACACACTCGTCGAACTTGACGCCCGAGCCTCCAAAGCAATCTAGCGCACTTCCTATTGTGAGATCCACCTTGCCTCCGCTCAACCGCTTGACCGTCTCCAGATCGTCAATGTTTCTACCACCGCCCGCATAGGTAACGGGGATGGTACACCATTGAGCGAGCCTCTCCACCAGCCTCTCGTCGATGCCCTTTTGCAGGCCCTCGTTGTCGGCTGCGTGAATCAAAAACTCTGAGCAGTAAGGCTCCAGCGCCCTAATGGATTCTGATCCCGGTTAGCAGTCTGCAATGCCTATATGCAACTTGGAAAACAAACCCTGGTTGACCTCCATATCGGTAATAGTCTGCCATTTGTTCATAGCCACAAACCAGGAGTCCTCCCCCCGTCGTCGGCAGCTGAGATCAATCACCAGCTTGTGTTTGTCGCCGCCAAGGGACTCGAGCACAGCATCTAGCCGAGCCTGGCTAAAATGGGCCTCTGGGAAGAGGTACGAGGTGATAATGACCTATAAACGAACTGCCATTAGTTGAAGGTGTCATCCATGTGAGGTTATTTTATTCGCCTACCTTTTCTGCGCCAGCATCCATCCACTCCTTCGCATTCTTGTCATTGATTCCCCCTCCAACTTGAAGTCCGCCAGGCCAGGCTCTTAATGCTTCTCTAGCTGGGCCATCGTTATTGGGGCCTAGCATAATAACATGGGCTCCCACGAGGCCATTGTCCTTGTACAGCTGCGCAAAGTGGGCGGGGGGGTGTTGAGACACAAAGTTGGTCTTGAGCTCTGATGAAGCGCTGTCAAGGGTGCCGCCCACGATCTGCTTCACTTGGCCGGCGTGGAGATCAATACATGGACGAAAGCGTGTCATTTTGGTAGTCTCTCCGGTGACGACCAGAAAGTGTGCTGATGTGTAACTGAAGCTTGGCTGGATTGAGGACCGATGACTGACTTTGTGTCCCATCATGTCTATGTGGGGCAGATCCGCCATCTGCGAGACGACAGAACAACGAGCTTTACTCATGAGCTCAGGCTAGATGACTACGTCACAGTGAACACATACGAAGCACACGTAGTACCACACGACTGCTGGCCTCGAGGAAACTCATCCATATCAATCACGATATTGCCCAAAAGGGGAATTTCATTGCAAACTATGAGAACAGTATAGCCACCCTCGCCAATGTACCTAACCTATAGCACGGTCAAATGACACTACCGCACCACCAGTGAGTGTAGAAAACGCAATTCTAATCGAACTGCGACGTATTCGCTTCCTATCGAAATTATTGGTCTGGTTTGATGGTCTCCCTGGGTGTCTTAGATGTTTGTTGTTGCCTATCATGACCAAAGCAGAGTCAATAACAATGGAGAAGAATTGCAGCATCCTCGAGTCGTTGGACTGTTAAGATTGTGTGACCTAACAACCTAACGTCTCATACAAAATAGTTCTAACTGTTAAGTAGGTATTCTATGAAATTTTCTGCTATAGTTCCTTCCAAGAACTCAGGAAGACAAAAAATTAACAAAACAAATAAGAAGAGCACATGTCGTTGTTTTTCCCGTTGCATTGATGGGTGGATCCCACACCAAAAAAGAAATCGGTCGCCATCGTGTTACGAAAGCGAAAAAAGAAAGGTCCAACCGGGGTTCGAACCCGGGACCTAAACCGTACTGGGCGTTTTATTGCCTGTGAAGGTTGCGTCATACCACTAGACCATTGGACCGATGATTGGAGGTTGTTGGAAGCCGGTCGCATATATGGCTACTTGAAGTTTAGCTGCAGGCTTGTTCCCGTGAGAACGGAGGTGAATTCTACTATCACTACCAAAATGCAACCCAACATCTCAAACAGTCTCTGCACAGCAACATGCACCCCAGAGGCAAATATCTAACTCTGGATCAGTGTATTGCTACTGGGTGCTTAACCTTAACTCAGAGATGCTACCACGGGGAAACAATTGCACAATGTGTATAATAGAGTGTATTGATGAAACCAAAAGGAGTCTCGCTAGGCAATCGTCTAAACGTCGTTCCTATTTTAGCCATGTATCATTGAAATCATAGTATTATTCACAATTCAAACTATTTTAGCCATGTATCATTGAAATCATAGTATTATTCACAATTCAAGCTTCATTTGTGATATTTTCCCTTGAAACCTGGGAGAATCTCTTGTCCGTCGTGTGCGCGGTGGTTCTTGACCTTCTTTTGTTGCCACGTCTGTTTTAATTTGGTGAACTCACCCATGTCTGGAACAGGGTGACCTCCCACTTCGAACTCGTTTTGAGTGAAGCCCTCCTTCTTGAGGACTGGTGAGTCCACAGTGCTCAAGACGAGGTCGTTTTGAGGGCGTGCAAAGTACAGCAGACCAAGGCGGTCGACATGGCGCTGGTCTTTAGGAGGCAAAGAGACCTGTCGAGACGTTAGCTGACTCAAGATAACGCTTTGAAATATGCTTTCATTATTACTCTGTGAATTGTTGACTTGATGTAGCCCCCAGTGAGAAAACTCAGAGCGTCACAGGTGTTAACAGTCAGGCTGCCATTGAGAGGTTTGGCCCACTTCCAATTGCCCCCTTGGTCCTTGATCTGAAGTCCGGCTACGGGCTGCCTGAACAAGAGAGTAATGGTACCTAAATCCGTGTGACCATGAGACCATAGGCCATCTTCCAATTTAGCGGCCTCTTCTGGCGAGAACTTGCCATACTTCATATATCTCAAGTGGGATTCATCATGAGTCTCCCACTTGTGTAACTTAACGAAGTAGTCGTCTGGCAACTCCAGTGCAAGTGCGATTAAGTGATTTAATGGATCGAGGACCTTGTCGTGCAAACTCTGCTATTGGTGTTAGTTATTTCGGACTGAGGGTTCATGTATTTGGCCTTGGACAGATCCTGACCTTTGCAAAGCTTTCAATCTCTTCAAGATTATCCCCAATCAACTGCGGCACAGGTTGCGTGATATGACCGTCCTTGGCTGAATTGTATATGGTTAATATGTTGATTTCCGAGAAAAAACAACACATTTTGTACATATTTACTCACTTGCCATATTCCATACTTCGGTCTTTTCCGGCACACCCCCAGACAGCAGCCGCCTACCAGCCGGTCGATATCCATTGTAATCTCCATTATCCAGATCCGGGACAAATTTCAGTTTCTCCTCAAGGGGGAGTTCGTAAAACGCCTCTCCAAGGGAGAATTGTCTATCAACAGTCTCCTGGGAAATACCAAAGTTAATGACATAGAAGAAGCCCTTAGTTCGGATGGCTTCAATCAGTGTCTGCGCTAGCTCTTTATTCCCCTCTGAAGTGCCATACTTGGAGAGGTCGATAGTCGCCACTGGGGAACTGTATTAGTCGTGACATAGGAGCGAGGAGCTTTCAACTGAGAAGAGTTGAGCTTACGATCAGCCCAGTCCAGGTCCTCCTTTGTCTCTGGTACATGGTTATATTGGTGAAGAGGAATAGCGGAAGGCATCCTGATGGATCCAATTCTGACTTGTCTCTGGGTTCGAAGCGCCCTGGAAATTCTCAATTCTGCTTTGGAAGGGGGCTAATGAATAGTTTGCAGTGAAGCTGGATCCCTAGGCTAATATGAAGTAAATGTTGCTTTACTTTATAACATATCTGCCTCTTGTATTTTACGAAGTCCTATTACGATACGCACATATGTCGGCACCGAAGCACCAATTGGTATGTGCATACTCATCTTGACTCAATGTCGTGATCGTACCCCGCATATTCCTGCATCGTTGGCCTGCTAAAAGAAGCTTGCTTGGCTCGGAAATAACGCCAATACTCAAGACTAACGTATTTTCAATCAATGACGGGTGACGCAATATTTGCCTTCCTAGGCCGATCAACCTGTCCACGAGACCAGACTGAGCTCCTCGGCATCCCACTTTCAGGAACGGCAATACTGCCGCATTTTAACGGGATACAGCATCTGCCTCTTTTCTTGCTGTCACAGCCACTTTATTGGTAATTCTTTATTGGTAATTCTGCTCACCACCTTGGCGTTGACCCGGCCGCACGCGATCTTCAAGGTAATGGCAAAAGAGCTTGGATGTTATCCCGCTCGGAACTCGATGCGAATCAAGGTCAAACTTTGCAGGTTTTTGACCGTATTTGTAAACAAGATCTAGAAACAAAAGAACTCCAAACACCATATGCTGAATATAGGGAGCTATGACCCAGATATTGCAAGCAGTACCTAGCAAATATGGTCCTCCTATTAGTTGTAGCTGTCTTTCATACCGACTCAGCTCCATAGTTAGGTTTGACGTGCCTATCTAGATGATGTGGGATACGCCATTAACTGGGTCCTGATGATGGCAAATCAACGACGGCCAAGTAACCACCGAGGTAGTACATCATCCCGCAGTTCCTTGGAATGAGAATGATGCTCGAAAGATGTTGTGGTTGTACAAATCCTCAGTCACTTCCGTGAGTGTGAGGTAGACTGTGCATATGTGTGATTTCGGGGATTCTCATCCAACAAATCAAAACAGCAACCAGACGAAAGACATTGGATATACAATGGCAGCCAAAGTTCTTCCGAGGAGAGTTTACGCCAGCCGATTCCTAATGCCAGGTACCCAAGGTATAACTCATTTAAGGTACGATAAGGTAGAAGTTTTGAATATAAATAGGTTTCATACCCTCATCTTAGTCAAGCCACAGCATCACGGTACAAGCTAAGCTACAGAGGTACCTGAACTAGACAGATACCTTTTAGCCCATTCGCCTGCTTCAATGCGCTCCCAATGGCGACACCTTTGATTGGTCTTTTTCGTCATCACTACTTCCTCCCTCCCCCTTTGTTGCTATGTCTCTAATCATAATATTGACTTTTCAAGCAGCCATATACAAGACCGGCATCATCACAATTATTCAGGCGTTTCAGGGACCATGGCCGTTGCTGGGATGACGGGTTGAGTGGTTTTGTTTAGGTTGTTGGAGAGCTCCCGCCAATCAAAGGCCAGCGCTCAGCTGCTACCCTGGAAAGCTGAGGGGCTTACTGGCGATAAGTAACATGACGCGGCACCACTCATCTCACCGAACTTGGGATCGCATCGCCTCTTAACCATGGGCGCTGCGACTACTCAGCTCGACCTCTTGCTTTGACGCTTTGCGTTTTCTTTGCGACCCTAGGCCTGGAATGCGCCAGACAATAATCCGTCCCTCTCCCATTTGAGCAGCTCCACATCATGTCTGACGAAGGGCCCCAGCCGCGCGATCCTCGCAATCGCGATGGCGAGCCCAGAGACGCAAACCGAGGGGACAGGCATAGGGACGACAGAACATACAGCGAATCAAGTGACGGCTCTATCATCGAGCCTGTCAAAACTCGTAATCGCGACAGAGATCGATCGCCAGATAGCCCCCGTCCCAGCTACCAGCCGCGCGACCGAAAGGACAACAAAGATCGTGACAGACCCCGCGACAATTATTTCCCACCTCCACCAAAAGGAACTCAACGGGGGGACAAGAACAAGGACAGGGACCGCGTTGGAGATCAGGATAGCTATTTCCCACCTCAAAGTCCTAAACGAGGCGAGAAAAAAGATAGGGATAGGGATAGGGACAGGGACGATGATAGAGACAGCTATCATTCCCCCGAAAGCCCCAGACGAGCGAATAGGGTAAACCGGGATAGGGACGATGACAGAGATGGCTACCATTCTCCCGAAAGCCCCAAACGAGTGAATAGAGAGAACAGAGATAGGGATGATGACAGAGATGGCTACCATTCACCTGAAAGTCCCAAACGAGTGAACAGGGCAAACCGGGACAGGGACAGAGATAGGGGGAAGGACAGAGACAGAGACAGAGACAGAGACAGAGACATCGATAGAGATCGCGATAGAGATCGCGATAGAGACCGCCCTCGAGATCGAGAAAAGGACCGTGATGGCTATCGAGAAAGTCCTCATCCCTCGGAAAACCACCATTCTCGCCCACCGGTCCAACGAGACCACCTGCGTAACAGAGATCATCTTCGAGACCAACCGCTGAGCAAGCGAAACAGTATCACCAGTCGCATCTTTGGATCGATTCGGGAAGTGCGAAACAAAGTCCATGACAGGGTGGATCGAGATCGAGATAGGGATAGAGATAGGGACAGAGATCGGGCCAAAGATCATGCTTCTCCCCTCCAAAGACGCTCTACTTCTGCAGTCAAGCAGACACCCATCCCGCGCATTCATGATTGGCTCGAAGCCTGCAATTCTGACCACCATCGTCATTGCGCTGCCTCTACCGATGCAGAGGCCACTACTTGGCATCCTATCTGGCTCATCGATGTCGTTGAGCGACGCCTCGTGAGAGCTGCTGCTACTGATCGTTATGTTGCACTTAGCTACGTTTGGGGCTCGCCAAATCGAGCCAAAGCTGCTGCTGTGCAGACGCTCAAATCAAACATCGAGGCTTTTCAGGGCATCGATTCTCTTCCTGAGAAGGAGATGCCACAGACCTTTGCCGATGTTATGTGGGTGGCCAAGAAACTAGGCCTTCGTCACCTCTGGATCGACAAGCTCTGCATCGTGCAAGATGATCCCGAGCAGATGGCTAACAATGTTAGGCATATGGCATTCGTCTTTGCAAATTCGTACTTGACGATTGTTGCCGCTGCGGGTGATGCATTCTCGGGACTGAAAGCGTTGACGCCACAACGGTCGATGTCTCGAAACATCCGTGGGGGTGGGCGGAACCAACACGACTT